TAGTCTTTGTCCGTTGACTGTATCGATCGGTCGTTCCTTGTGGACGCGTACAGTTAATAACTTTGAGTGTTGCTCGTTAAGATTACTAGGAATATTTCACAATAACAAGTGCTTGTGTATGTACTTTACATAGTCATTTCAAATATAATTGCTACTTTAAGAGGGTGCTTGTAATATCAGAGTAACAGGAAAATTCCCTGTTGGATCATAGAGTTCAGCTTTTTTTAAGGTAAATCTGTAAACGAAATAATTTGCAATAAAAAATTATAATTTTAACTATGAATTCATCAACAAAAATATACTTGAATCAGGTATTTCGAAACTTGGTATCTTTATTAACGTGGCTGATTCGAATTAATACAAATAATTATATCAACCTAAAAAAATTTGTAACTTTTAGTTGTACAGTACTTTTCATTGCTTTTTCGAAACCGGTAGGTCAACCATTTTAGACAGAAAATTTTTTGAAAAGTGTTCGTATTAACGTTGACTCTTATGTAAATCTTTTTTTATTGTCTTACAAGTTATTTATAATTTTATATAGTTTAATATGCAAAACTGTATTATATTGTATTTTACGTAAATAATGGATTCTTCACATAAAAATTTATAGAAAACTCAGCAATTATAAAAGTAGAATTTTCTTTTTAACCTCTTGTGACATCATCCTCAGTGTAATTCAAATAATTTTTAAGAAATATAAGATTAGATAAAGAAAACAATAATGTACTAAAAAAAAGTTTTCAGTCCACGGCAAAGACATTATTAATTATTGATAACTGTTGCTCAAAAATATATTTTATGCATTTTTGTTAGTTTCATATTTACGTTTACTGCATGAACAAAATTAAATACATGAGCCACCCTAATGACAGAGATAGTATAGGTAAAATTTCATTTATTACGACATAACGTTAAGAAAAAGAAAATTATACAACTTTAAGAGTATGCCTGTATAGTGTATCATTTGCAAATACCTTAATTAAGTATATACTCATTCTTGTATATAACAAGTCGTATAAACGTATACATATATAATAATGCTAAAGTAAGAATATCTTACATGTTCTTATATATATCATAAATCAATTGATAAACGAATTAGGCGTATGTAAATGTATGGAAACTTTTTTTGAAATTGTTGACAAAGTTTGATTTTTTTTGCTAACAGCTCAAAGACAATTTGAACAAACGGTCGTTGTTGCAAAGTGTCAGATCCATCAAAGAAAACAACGACAGTCGAACTAATAAGAAAATCCGTGGCTAGCCCACATCAGCAAGTGCTAAACTTCTACATGTCAGCGATCGCTGAAAATGGACAGCCACATGGAGATACAACACCTTAATGACACGAAAAATTATCCCCATCATTGCACCAAATGTGACAAAGAATTTTTGACCCCCAGGAGTCTTTCAAGGCACATGCTCTCCCACACGAAACCTGTCAACAAGTGCTTGGTGTACCAGAAATGTTTTTG